TGGGTTTTTTTTTCATATTTCCATCTTATTTATTTGACCTAGTTTTGCATGCTGCTTTCTTTTTTGAGGTGATTGGAGAGCTTGTAATTAGGGACCAGCTTGACTCTTTTTGATTAATGACTGAGCCTGGATATCAAGGGAACAAAGCTGGCACTTTACCAGTCACACCAGCTCCTTCCCTTCACCCATATTTACTCTGCAAAGGTCACAGAGCTGCACCGTGCAAAGATGAAGCCAGAAACAAAATTAGCAATAGGCAAATACAGATTTTTGGTTTATCTGTTCCAGCACTTGTGAAAACAAGGATTGCAGATGCTCTGGTGACCTCCTGCTTTGTGTAGGATTCCTGCTGTACGTGTGGGTATCTGCATTGTTGTTTAAATTCCTGGTGACTTCCAAGAAACAGCACCTGCCTCTTCATATGGGAATATGGGACATATTTCAGGTGTCCTGAAGGAATCCAAGCCTGCCTTTCCAGAGTTTGATACTCTTATTTTGATGTTAATTTTTAATGCCATTTCATCACCACCCTTCATGCTCTTTTCTGCCCTGAAGATTTCAGCTACTTCTTTCTTACAATGGGATCTTGAAGAATTTCTTAGGTAGTCATTTTCTTCCTTTCTGTTTAAAACTGTGATACCAAATTTGGAGAATTTGTCTTTGAGAGCTCATGTCTGTGCTGTCCAAACCCTCTGTTATCACCTGTAACAATACATGGATCTATGAATTCCTTCCATAAAACCTCCATACCCTGCATTTGGATGATTATTTGCCAGTTCCTTACAATTCCAGTTATAAGATTTTCTTTTTTTTCCCATTTTTTCCCCTGCCGTCATCACTGTTAGTAAAAATACCTGTGCAGGAATGCACAATGACCTCTTGTATGGTGAGGAAAGTCAAAACCAGAGCAGTTGAGCAGCTGTGTGCAAATTATGGATTTGTGTCAGTAAAAGCAACTTCCACCACTGTCAGGGGAGTTTGTTCCAGCATAAAGTAGGATTTAAGGTGCAAGATGTACCTTGGAATTAAAGTATGGTGGCTAAACCAGACAAAGGCATCTGTAGGCAGGGATTAGGAATGCTGTGCTGAAAAGGCAGTTTTCCTGTGTTATTAAATAAACCTTCAGCATCTTGCTTATACAACAAAATTAATGAGGTTGTTGAGGTTAGGAGCAGTGTGACATGGAATGAGAGACAGGTCTGTGTTTAGCCCTCAATTACTGCAGGAACTTCTGAACTCTAAAACACTGTGTGGGCAATAATACAAATAGACTCTACCTGAAGGGTGTTGAAGAACACTGTTCCTAAAAGGAATATTGCAGAATATGCAACATTCATCCAAAATGTCCCCTCAGTGCTGATCCACAATGCCAGCTGTGCCCTAAGCTGTGGAAGCAAGAAAACTCAAGTTCTTATTTAGCTAGATTTGTTAATTTTTTAAAGGGATTAATAAACCTTTCAGCAGCAGGCAATGACAGAGCCACAGTGCTGGAGTTGTTGTGGCCATGACCTGAGCTCCTCTTGCTTTCCTGCTCTCAGGGAGCTCTCAAGCACATCCACTTTAAAGATAACCTTGGCTTAGGCTTGGATTTCATAAGCAATTTGCAATCTGTGAAAACACCGCTTCATTCTGTAGTAAAACTCCTTGCTCATAAAAATCCCTCCCCATTCAGATCCATATGTAAGAACAAGGCAAACTCCTACAGGGATATTCTGAGGCACTCCTGCTTTAGAACATGAGCTTTGTATTCAGAAATGTTTTAGCCTGTTTCCTGCAATAAAGATTAAATTGTCGCTCAGGAAGCAAAGCTGCAACATGTGCCTTTGACAACGTAATCAAACTTTATATAGCCATGTTTTTATTGTTTTCCTTTTGTTTTGCTCTTAGATGACTAATTTCTGCCTAAAAGTGACAGCAAGAGTTGCCATCTGAGAGGCCGCTCGGAGCTTTATTTCTATTTTAAGCATATTTAAAGCACATGTATTCACAAGTGTCATTATGTAAATCAGGTTTGAAAATTGAGCTCCATTAAAAATTGCAGTATCATTTTCTGAGCTAATCCAAGGCTATTTTAATCTCACAAATGAAAAAATAACCCCACAACCAAACCTCAGGTTTTTGTGAGGAGCGGCACTTCTACCTCTGATGTTGTAATTGCTGTGCTAATATTGTCATAAAATACATTGGATTCTTAGTGGAGCAAAATGTTTGCTCTTCTTGGATTTGGAAAATCCACTAGCCTGAAATTTGGAATATTTGGAAATTCCACTACATTGCCTGGAAACAAAAATTGATAGTGGAGTCCAGTGTAAGGAATGATTTTGGCAATGGTGAAAGTGTCCAACCCTTTAAAGGCTTGGCTGGACCAGATAATCTTTAAGATCCCTTTCAACTTGGTATTTTAGGGAAAGAACTTGCTATTAAAAAGGAGGCTTTAAAAGGAAGTTGGGTAATAGATAATTTGTAGCTTAAAGAAAACTCTGCATGTGAGGCAGAGTGGTGATGGTGGTTTGTTTTTGTGTGTGGTTTTTTGTTTTTGTTTTTTAAATGCTGCCCTGAGTATTGAAGGGGATTTAAATGTAACTGTGGTGTTCTGGAATGGCTGTAATGGCATGGGGTTTCTTAAATACCAGCAAGAGAAAACCAAAAAGTTTCTCATTTTACATGGACTTGTTTCATTCACCTGCTTTCTAAAACCAGAAAAAGCTGAACTTCTTCTGGCAATAGTGTGAGAGCTTGGGGGAGTTCACTGGAACTGGGCCTTTGTGGAGTCTGCTGTGACTTGGGTAGGGAGCACTGCAAATGAAGGGAGTGGATGTTGTTTCTTTGTAGTTTCTGAGGTCCTGGGGACTTCAGTTCTCCGCTGAGCTAACAGGGATAAAGGCAAATCTGTTACAGTTCCAACTCAGTTTCTTTTGGCAACCAAAGTCATCACTTTTTGCAAAGTCCTAGAAGGCGGCATTTAAAAGTGCAGTTTCATGCACCTTTGTCTTAAGTGTGATTTAACAACTTTAGATCCCCGCCTGCAGTTCCTGAGGGCTGATATTTCCCAAACCTCAGTTTACATTACAGAGTTTAAAAGGTGGCCCCTTGAGACTGGCAGAAGCTGAGCAGTTGTGAATTTTTGGCCATGACAGAAGGTGAATCAGTGGTTAAAAACCAGACTCTTAATGCCACGTTCTCCACTGAGCTAACAGGGATAAAGGCAAATCTATTACAGTTCCAACTCAGTTTCTTTTGGCAACCAAAGTCATCACTTTTTGCAAAGTCCTACAAGAAGCCATTTAAAAGTAGTTTCATGCACCTTTGTCTTAAATGTGATTTAACAATTTTAGTGTAATGCACATCCCCACCTGCAATTCCTCAGGGCAGATGTTTCCCAAACCTCAGGGTTTCAAAGGTGACCCTGTGGGACTGGCAGAAGCTGAGCAGGTGGTGAATTTTTGGCCATGACAGAGGGTGAATCAGTATTTTAAAAGCAGATCATGAATGCCATTCCAGCTGCCTGGACCTCCAGTGGTGCACCAAGAGCTCCCAGATGTGCCCAACCTCTGGCTGCTGTTCCAGACCCCGGGTCTTGCCATATCTCTCACTTCTGTAAATAGGCTGAGTGCTGTAAAGTGCCTTAAAAAGGCACCAACACCTAAGTTTAGGGCTGTGAATTGCGTTCTGTAGTGTTTATAGTTTGGGGTGACACAAGGAAAGGGAATCTGCTTTTAATTTAGTCTGGAGCTCCATACAGGATCTGTGTAAGCATTAAAGCATCTGCATGGCCAGGATCAGTATTTACAGGCAAGGGAAAAAGCCAAAATATCAGAAGTTACAATGTTCTCTTTTTTTATAACAAAGGGAAACTATGTAGGAAAATGCAAACTTGTTAAGAGGCAAAATGTTTCATGGGGAATGTTTGAAGACACAACGTGCAAAATCTGAAGAGTGGTTTGTTTTCTCCTTTAGGTAAAGAGCAGTCTGACAGATTGTGACCAAAAATAAAAAGTTTTATAATTAAAAAACTCTTTTTTTAAACAACAACCAAGATCCAAACAAAAGGGAGGGGGACTGCAGGCTTTGGCAAGTTAGATGTAAAGCGATTGTAAATTAGGCTAAAAGTGATCTTGAGGAGTAATTGGAAGGCTTTGAATCTAATAATAGTGATGGTAATGGCTTCAGCCCATCAGAAACAGCATTCTCAGAAGATCTGTGAGGCTGATAAATGATCAGGACCTGAAGAGCTGTCAAGGAAGATAAAGCAGTTAGAGAGAAGTAAATGAATTATTTGCATTGGTATTTATTGGGAAGGATGTTGGGAGGGTCATTGCTATAACCATTTATTTCAGTGATGGACATAGGAAGCAGAGAAAAGGTTTCAGGTGGGTTTTCTTCTTGATTTGGAAGGATTCAGGTTAATTTTTAATCAAGATGATACTGGAACAGTCTTGTTTTGCATGAATGCAAATTCTTCAGCAAGAATTTATAGGATGAGCACAAAATATGATTATTGGAATTCATCTGGGCCTTAGTTTACAACTCTTGAGAACAAAATTGATGCGTGTGGAAAATGATTACAGCATGTGTTTGATCAAAAAGAGAAAAATAGTTGCAAAGTAATGTACTTGCTCGTGATCTTCAAGGTGTATTGTGAATCACAGCTGCTGAAAGCCAGCAGAACTTGCATTCATTACTTGGGTTTGTTCCTTTTTTTTTTCCAGTTTCAAACTTTCTTTCCCCAGGATATGCTAATATTAAACAGTGCTTATGAGTGATTGTGGAAAGAGGTTCCAAATAAAATCTGTCCTTTCTGAATTCTCACTGCCTGCTATTTTATTTGTTGTGAGTTTCAATTTTGGAACAGCTCTTTTTTAGAGCTTTTATTGCAGCATTAGAAGCAGCCTTTTTTAGACATGAGATGTAGAAAGTTAGCAATGCAAATATGGATTATTCACCTTCCTAGAGAAACTTCATCTTACTGAAAAACTCTTCCTAACCTTTGTTCTTATCAGGGAGAAAGAACAAGAAACACAAGAAGAGGAACATTTGATGGAAGAAAAGAAAAAGAAAAAGCAGGAAGAAAAGAAAAAGAAGGAAGGTGCTCAGAAAAAGGTTTGTTCATGTTCCTGTTGTAATTGATGCCTTCACTTTTAAATGTGGTTGTGGTTACTGATGCTGCAGCTCCACTTGTGGGAGTTTTAATTTGAAATAAGACTTGATCGCTGTCTTTTCTTGTATAAAAATCAGGCATCATAAAAAGTTCCAGATAGATTATAAAATAAACAGGTCCTCTGTGCAAGGTGGGGGTGTGGGTGGATCCAAAGGGATGCTGGATAAAGTCACAGAAGTTCATTGTGCTGGGTGCTCAGGGGTCCAGAAGGGCTCTGCCCCCCAGAAGAGGGAAGGCTGGGTGGGTGGAAGGAGCTGCTGCCCTCTCTTGTCGTTCTTTACCCTTCTCTTTGGCATCTGCTTCTGGCTTCAGGCAGACATTTCTATCACATGGAGTTAAACTGGAATTCTCTAGTCCTTAAATGAAACAAATGCCAGATTTATGTAAGCAGTTTCTGCAAAAAGTTAAGCCTGCAGCCCTATAATTGGTAGGTATCATTTGCAGTATTGGCAAGTGGTTGATTTGTCTTGTTCTTCTCTTCTTTCAGGCTGCTGAACAAAAAACCAAAGGTAAATTCATGTTTATTCTCTGTGAAATGTTTGATATTTTGATAAGCTTGTTTAAAAAATGTGCTTGTACTTTGTATTCATTGTGTCTGTTTAATGAGGGGAGTATATCTTACTAGGATTGTTATATTCCTAAAGTTTTGTTGGGATTCTCAGCATAAGCTGTGGCTTATCTTGCTGGGTGTATTCTATGGCAGCCTTTTGACAAGAATATATGGATTAATTTTCTGTGAACCATAACACAGCATGTGTCATCTCTTTTGTCAAGACAGATGCAGTTTTCCATTTAGTTGTTAGTAGTTATTTATCTGTTTCAAAGACAAGTAATTGCCCCTTTCCCCTTGCACAATTCAACTCAATTTAATGTGTAAACTCAATTCATGGAGCTTAGAAGAAACTATTTCCCCTGCTGCCACCATTGCCTGTTTTTCTTTCTGTGTGGCTTTTCTGCCTGGGAAGTGAGTGGAGCTGCTTTGCAGCAGGGTCAGGAAGCAGCAGAGGGAAGAAATGCCTTTCCCTTTGGGGGCACTGGGCTGCCAGCTTCCCTGGGAGAAAAGTTAATGAAGCTGTGCCTTTCAGAAAGGTGAGGAAGAGAGGCAAGGTAATGTCTTTCTTCTGCATCTGATGGCTTACAGAGCTTTTTGTGTCTCAGTTCTGAGGCAGCTCAAATGCATTGTCATTTCTTGGTGGGTAATTAGGTAACAGACAGGCAAGTGGAGCTTCCCAGAGTCCCAAAGAATGAGAATTAGGGAAGAGCCAAGCCTGACATAAGGGCTGGACTAAACAACTTATGTTTCTAACACTTATGATTTATTTCTGTTTCAAACACTTATGATTTATACAGCGGAAATGAAATATTACTTTGATGAGATGAATTCAGAAAAATAAAGTAATAACGGCATGATGAAGATACTGTAACAGTAATTTATCAAAACCTTGTCCTTTTCTTTCTGAGTTTTTCTTATGTAGAAAGGGAGAGGTCAGAAAGTTTTAGTTTATATTCTGTAGCATCTGCACTGTGAGATTTCATGTCATTTGTAACACTGGATTTTACTTTCAGGAGAAGGGAGCAGAGGTATGTGGGTCCCACCAAAACTTAGGTACATGAAAAACCTTGGAATTTAGATACATAGGAGCAATTTCTATCTAAATGGAATATTTCTATTTTCACAGCATTGCTTGTTTTGTTCTCTGTATCAGCTCATTTCTGTGTGAAAAGGTTTCACTGTTCTATAATGGATTATAATGACTTTTTAATATCACAATTCAGCTGCAGATGTTTTTGCTGTCAGGTTAACTAAATTCATTTTCACGTGGTAATGCAGTGGCTCTTCATTTCTGTTACGAGTGAGACACAGAGCCTTCTGCTTTCCCTCTGTGGGATGTTACTATTTCTGTCTGTGTTGTGACAGCTTTGCTTTTAATTGCTTGAAACTGCCACGTTTAAGTTTCTAGTTAATAACCTCAGTTTTTCAGGTATGCTTGTGAGTTTGTTTCTTTCAAATTTAGGGACTGCATTTCTCCATCTGTTAGATTTTTTTGTTCATTATCCATGTATTTTAGCATCTTCTATTGCCATAAAATATGGATCAGGGAGAAGACAGCAGTGCATCAGGATAGTTATGTTAGAGATTAAGCAGCTTTGGCATTTATTGTTTACTCTGTGAGAGCAGTGATGCAGCTTTTTTGTGGTTCAGCATCACTGGAAGGGGAAACCTGTCCTACAGAGAGCCCAAACCTCCTGTTCATGCTCAGGGCAAGGGCCAGGGGTTATTTACAGTCCTGTGAGTGACCCTTCTTTGAATTTCCTTTGTCTGGCAAATACTCCTTGCTTTTCAGGTTGCTCTGTGGAAATGTTTTATTTCCTCTTTATAGTGCAGTTCCTTGCATTTATCTTTAGGAGGGATGTGCATGAGCTTATAAAAGGTAGCAGGAATTTCTTAAAATAGATAAAATATTAATACAAAATTAATGAGAAGAAAAATCTGACCGAACATTTTTCCTACAATATTCAGAGTTGACTGTAAACTTTATTGCATTGCTGCACCAAGTGCTTTATTCAGATACATTTTTGAGGATAAGTGACACATGCTACTAGAACTAAAAGGCAGCACAGGGATTATCATTGAATTTAGTTAATTTATTTCCTATCTGTGGCAGAGCAATTAAATTAGTTGTGATGACAGCATGGCACAGCAAAACTGAGTGAGTGGACTGCAGCAAGTAATGCATGCCAGTGAGCAGGATGTATTAAATCAGAGATTAAAGCTGGGCATTTTGCAAAATGTAGATTTTGGTAGGTGAGATCTTTATAAATATTATTTAATGGAGCTCTTTGTGGTAACTTAAAAAAAATTTGCTTAATTTTCTGTGTGTGTCACTGAGTTCTGCAAGTGGGTTGCCATGGCAGTGAGAGGTGCTTGCACTAGTTGGGTCCTAGTGGAGAAAAAGAACTCACACAAGTGTGCAGGTGGGATCTGGCCGGGTTTTTCAGTTTGTTTTTCAGCTGGCTGGGGCAGGGTGTTTGTGCAGCCCCCGTTTGCTCTCAGCAGTGTTTGTGAGGAGAAGGCACTTGGCTGAAGTGGGTAGAAAGGGCCAGGTGGTGAGGCTTGAGAGAGGGAGGGAGGAGTTAGCTTCTTCTGTGCTAGAAACCTGTGACCAAGGTCTAATTGTTTTTAATTAATAGTTTTTCATGGATTTGTCTGTCTCAGAGCTGTGGAGTTGCTGTCCTGGCCAGTAATGGACTCGTGTGGTTTGTTCATGTAGCTCGGAGCTGGTCTGGGCTGCTGCAGGTTCAGTCTCTGGTGAGGCCTCAGGAAAGAGAAGGGAAGAAGGAGGAAGGAGGTTTCCTGTGGGGGTGTGTTTGTGGTGTGTTGTCAGTTCAGCCTTGCTCTGAGGCCTCAGCCCCAGCTGAATGTTTCCATTTGTGATGTGGAGCCCAAACCCTTCCAAAATAAACACACATTTCCACCCTTAGGGGAAAGGTATGTGCTGCTGCTGGAGCCCAGGCTAGCAGTGCTCCCTCACACAGCTCTTGCATCCACTGAAACAAATTCTTTTCTCTTTTTTAACAATGATCCAACCCTTTAAATCTTCTCTACAGCTCCTTCGGTTTCTATTTTTTTCCCTGCAGCGTTGTTTGCCTGAGTATTTTTGTGAGGCTGGATCTTTTATAAATACCCCGTTGGCAACAATTCTAGGGAATGTGAAAAGAAGAGAGATTGGAGAGCTGATAAAGACCTGAAATGTTTCTCAATTACTTGAAAACAAATGAAAGTAGTCTTCCTGTTCAGCTGGAGAGAAGCATTGCAGAATTAGATGAGGTGGGAAATGAGCAGGTTTTTATTGCAAATTCAAGTTGTTGTTCTTTTATGGTAATTTTTTTTCAGAACAGGACTATTGAGCACAGGCTATTAGTGTTTATTTTACATGTATAAACTCTTGCCAGTTTATGTGCACTTGATCAAGAAACTTTGTGTATAAAGGCTTTTCTAATGAAAACATTCAGCTGTAATTGTGAGCTCTGTTCTGTGTGGTAAAGGGTCACTAGCATAGGAATGGCTGTTATTTAATAACCACAGGGGCTTTCAGGGAGCTGGGCTTGTCATAAATACTGCCAGGGTGGGTTTTGCTGCCTGCTTCTCTTCCAGCCATCCTCCTGCAGGTTTAGTCAGCACAGGTGATCAGTTCCTGGCCTGCTCCACTCCCACCTCAGCTGAATGCATTTGTTTAAAGCTGATACAAAATAGCTTAAGTGGTTTGTTACTCAAACATCCACCCCGGTAATTGAAAGGCAAAATATCCATCCAACCCTCCAGCTTTATATGCAATAAAGGTAAGTGCTAAATCTGCAAACAGAGAAGTAAAAACAGTTAAGACTGTATACTGCAGTTAGTCTAACATAAAAAGTATTTTGGTAAATATTTTTATTAGAATTGTTAGCTGGAAAATATTTTTATCCCTTTACTGTAAAGTACAGCTGGTCAATCTGTGCCTTTGAAAACCTCCATGATCCCTGCAGGTCTGTCTGGCATGTTCATGGCATGAGACCAGGCAGGGAGAGGTGGGCTTTCCAAGGGGAAAATGGGAATTTCAGCTCATGCTGGGGAGTGATGGAGCAGGATTGCAGGAGCTGCAGTGACCCTGGGGCTCAGCACTGGCTCTCCTGTGTCCCAGAGGTGCAGTGGCTGCTGAGCTGAGCATCCTCCCCTTCCATCTGTGCTCTGTGAGGAGCTGTCTGGGCTGTGTGCCTTGGGACTCCTCAGAGTGTGATGATCTTAATATGCAGCTTGCAGAGTCAGGGAGCTTGTCTGCAGGCTGGGAGATTGCTCTGCCAACGTTTATGCTTTCATGCATTTTATTCTGGGGGACTGAACAGAAATCATGTAACAGTGTGTGGTTGCTGGGTAAACCATTGTGGTGTCACAAATGTTGGCATACTTCCTTCAGGTTATCTGGATATTTTACCTGGAGGAACATGGTCTGCTCTATTAGAAAAGAGAGTTAAAAGGAAAAAAAAAGAATAAATGAAAATATCTAAGACTCTATCCCCTGCTCTGGCATTTCTGTTGGGATGACAGGAGTTGCAGCATACCTGTTTCCAAAGCTGGGTTATTTTTATTTCCAAATCAGCCATGTAGATTATTGCATATCTGTAAATTGATTCTTTACTTACCCTGCCCAGATGGGCTGTTACAATTTTCTCAGCCTGTGCTCATGTGTGTGTGAATCACCTTCCTGTAACCTCCATTCTGCTCATACAGAAATGAAGTTTGTGTATATTGATAATATGCTCCTTCTGGCTGTGGTAGATGTTACTGATGTTTAGTGGTAGTTCCATAGGAAAAAGGGAAAATGAAACTTTTTTAGAGAATCTCATCAGGATTTTAAGTAGAATTCTGACAGAGTGTAACACAATCAGTCTTTTTTCAAAAGAAAAGTCCTGAGTTTTTCTAGTTCATGTCATATTATTGTAGGAACCAGCAGAGGCATTTTCCATAAGA